TGACATAGTCTTTGGCCAGCCACTTCATAAACATTCAATTGCAGGATTTGGTGTTTTTCATAATTGGGTGAAACGTAGTATATTTTGGGAATTACCATACTGGAAGGATTTATTGATTCGTCATAACTTTGATGTCATGCATTGTGAGAAGAATTTTTTAGATAACATTAAAAATACTTTCATGAATGACAAGGGTTGTACGAAGGATAATACCAATACTAGATTAGATTTACAACTGTATTGCAATATATCTGCATTAGAATTAATCCCTCAAGATGATGGAACAGCTATAAAACCCAATGCTTTATATGTTCTTACTCGAGAGCAACGAGCTCTTATCTGTCAATGGCTGAAGGAATTGAGATTCCCAGATGGGTATGCATCCAACATAGCACGATGTGTTAACATGCAGAAACTTTGATTGTTTGGGATGAAAAGTCATGATTGTCATGTATTCATGCAGCGTCTTTTGTCAATTGCTTTCCGTGATTTCCTCATAGATGAAGTTTGGGGTCCCTTAACTGAGATGAGTAACTTTTTTAGAGCTTTAACTGCTCCGATTATTCAAGTCAGTAACATGGAGATGTGGGAGGAAAAAATGGTTGAGACCATTTGCAAGTTAGAGAAAGTAGTCCCGCTAGCATTCTTTGACTCGATGTAGCATTTAGCTATCCATCTACCATATGAGGCAAAAGTTGGAGGACCTGTCCAATTTTGTTGGATGTATCCTTTTGAAAGGTATATTTCTTCTAATATATCTTTACATCACAATAACATTCATGAGCATATTTAATAATTTAATGTTATTAATTAATTTTCTTATTTGTTTAACAAAAAAATGCATGACCTTAAGAAAACAGTGTTGAACAAAAATCGTGTTGAAGCTTCAATTTGCGAGTCTAATATTCTTTCAGAAATTTCCTTCTTTTGCTCGCATTATTTTGGATCTAACGTAGAGACAAGATTGAATCGTCAACCAAGAAACATTGTTGGCGTGAATGATGATATAGATAATTGTTTGTCTATCTTTAAACATCGAGGTCAACCACTAGGTGGAGAAATGCGTATGCGTGTATTGTCACCCAAAGAATTAAAGGCAGCAGAACTTTATGTTTTGCTTAATTGTGAAGAAGTTAATCCATGGATTGCGTATGTTCTCTAATTCTAACTTTCATTTGTTTAAGTTACTAGTATGTTTAGATTGTTTACTCCAACTTCTTCATGTAGGCTTTTTGATTATCAAGTATGTTCCGGTCTATCAGAGGATCAAATTCAAATCAAACGGCAACTTGAATTTATTCCTTGGTTTAAGACAACGATAAGTAATTTATTTTAATAATCTTTATTAGTAAGATCTCAATTTTTATATATTTTAGGATTAAATATTAAATATTTTTATAACAAATCTAGGTGCGTAGTGGAAGATATGAGGTTGATTCTCGCCTTTTGCCTTTAGTAACTGGCCTAGTCAATAACGTTAGGGTATAAAATGGTTATTGGGTTAATGGATTTCGGTTTCATACTATCGCATATGGACAAAATAAAAAGATCATGAATAGCGGTGTTTGTGTGAAGGGAACCACTTTCAATGATGAGTCAGATTATTATAGGAGTTTGAAGGAAATAATTGAGCTTCAGTATTTTGACTCATATGTTCATCAATTAGTGATTTTGTTCAAGTGTGAGTGGTATGATATCAACAAAGGCATGGTGGTCCATCCGACATCTGGTATAGTTGACATAATTCCTTGGTTTAAATTACAAACAGATGAACCATTCATATTGGCCAGTCAAGCTCAACAAGTGTTTTATGCCCGTTACCCATCTCAAAATCCTTGTAGAAAAAGGTGGTTTGCTGCATGTAAGATCAGAGCAAGAGCAATAATCAACACTTCATCATTGAGTGATGGTGGAAATGTTTATTATCAAGACAATGATCCTTCTATGCCACAATTGGTGCAACCCTCAACTGTTTTAAATGACCATGTTTCACTAGCATCTCAAGGGGGAGAAGAAGTGGTGATTAGTGAGGTCATGCAATTGCCATATGTGACAGAGGAAGAATGTGTGGGTGAGGATGATGATGAAGAGGAAGAGTTTGATGGAAC